CCCCGCGGCCTCCCCCGGGGCGGTGGGCGCGGGGCAGGGGGGCTCGGCCGGGCTCTGGGCGGCCCGAGGCCGGTGTCCCCTGGGAGGTGCCCGGGCCGGGCTGCGGCGGCAGGAGGTGCGAGCTCCGCAGGGCAGATACCGGGGCTTTTCCCCCGGGTGGCGTGAGGTGTCATGCGGGAGTGGGGCTGGGAGAGCCGCGGGGACGGGGGCTCAGCTGCTGCACCTGGGACAGACTCTTCAGTCTTTGAAGAGCCTGTTCGCTCTGCCAGTGCGGTGAGTTTTCTGATAGAGAAGACGGGGCGCAGTGTAAGAGGTTCTTTTACTCTGTAGACAGTCTTGGGAAATGGGTTTATGATGTTTTTTCACAACTGTCAGCACTAGCAGACTTAACAGTATTTGCACTGGCCCTGGGGGCTCGAATCAGAGGGTGCTGGAGCTCAGTTTCACTTCTGGTGGCTGAAGTGTGTATTTTCACATTGATTGCTTTTTAATATATTTACCTGGTGATTACTCATTCCTTATGCTATATGTATGTGCACTTACTTGAAGAGTAAAAGATAGTTGAGTTTGTGCTCAACTTTGATTTTTGACAGTATCTGTTCCTTAAGATTTTAAAATAAAATATTTAAAAGAAGCTATTTTACATTCCATTTTTACCCTTGAAGGCCTGTTTATTTCTTCTAACAAACCCTACTTTAGTTAATTATATATATATATAAAAACATATTGAATGGTCCTCTTTAAGTAATATGAATTATCACAGAATCATAGCATAGTTTGGGCTGGGGAGAGACCTTTAAAGGTCATCTAGTCCAACCCCATGATCATTTGTTATTTACAGCAAATTAATCTAAAATTGAACAGTTACATGAATACATCTTCTATTTTGAGGTGTTTCAAATCTCCAGTTAGGAAGGTAAAACCCAGTCTTGCTAACACTTTTCACATGCTTTCCATTAAGCATAAGGCCACAGTTGCTCTGAGTGGCAGTATTTGTACATTTAAGGTCGAGCATGGGCACATACACCCTGATGCCTAAATTGTTTTTCCCTTTCCTCATTTCCTTGAACCAAATCTTACTCTCCCTGCAGTCAGCATGAACTTGTGCTCCTGGCTTCAGTCAGGCTGCTTATAATCAAGTGTCAGCCATGTTATTCTCTCAGCACTCGCTGAGGATCAAAATAAAAACCAGCCAAGACATTGGATATGGCAGCGTCAGAACAGCTTGTTAAAGGAAGAGAGTAAACGCAGCTGGCAGCACTGCTCAGATGACCCAGGGACTGCAGAGACAAGCTACAACTAAGAACTCAGAAGTTGTGCATAAAAGAACAAAGGGATAAAATGGAGTTTGAATTTTGTGTGTTCCTGTAGTTTTATCCAGGTATGAAAACCAAATCACTATTTTGTCAGACTACTTAGAAGAATTCCCAGAAACTGATGAGCCAGTGTGGATTCTAGGAAGGCAACACCACCTAAACACAGGTATATTTAGAATGAAAATTCATCTGTAATATCTGTAGAGCATTTATAGATTCACATGCAAGAGCAGCTCCTGATTTCCTTATGTTCTCTAAATGTCTCATGAGAGAAGGTTATTTTTCTCCATCAACAAGAAACCAGCCATAAGCAGTGGTGTTTGTGCTATAATGAAACCAGCCATTTACCAGTGTACTTTCTACCATAATTCATGCAAAGAGATAGTACTTGTAGCAGAGGCTGGTCTGGTATGAGGCTGGTCACTTCTCAGCACCAGAAGTCGCAGAAGTAGATAAATAACTATAGGGGGAATGTTTAGTGTTCCTAATGTTATTTTCCCCTGAGGGGTGATGTCTGTGACCTGTTATTTGCAACTAAAATTATATTTCAAAACAGTAAGAATTAATTAATTTAGGGCATGTACTGTATTTTTATTAAAATAAATATATGACCTAAATGTCACAAGCAGTGTGATGCATTTATACAGATTATATAAAAACAGGAGTTCAGAAATGAGGCTTGTTCCCTGGGGAAAAGGCAAGAGTGTCCTCCTGGGTGCCAGGTCTGGTGGTTCCGTTGGCACAGGCAGGGTGCTCAGGGCAGCACTTCCAGCACTGAGGGATCCCTTGGAAAGGCCACTGCTCAGAGAAAGTGCAGCAAATAAGATTGTTAAGAATTCTTTAGAGCCTTTGGGAAAATTTTGTATGTGCATGTATTAAAATCCCCCAATATCCATTTAATTAAATTTAAATATTTTTTTTTTTTTTTTAAACGACTTTGCATTGGGTTTTGGAGGTAATGCATTGTTCCATGTTGGTTTGCATGGAGAAATTCCTTACCCTTCTGAACTTGCTTTACCAGTTTTTTCTTGAGGACACAGTTCTCCATAGTTGTTTCATTCAAGCTGGGCATAGTCATTCCAAACACCTTGTAAAACTTAATTGGCTAATAATTATTTCATCCTTAATAAGTAAATCTAATTGCAACTCTACAAAAGCTCTCTGTTCAAGCAGGTAAAAAATATTTTAAGTGCTAAGGGTCTTGCACGTAGAAGCTAACAGGAGTCATCCGGAGGTAATGCATTGTTCCATGTTGGTTTGCATGGAGAAATTCCTTACCCTTCTGAACTTGCTTTACCAGTTTTTTCTTGAGGACACAGTTCTCCATAGTTGTTTCATTCAAGCTGGGCATAGTCATTCCAAACACCTTGTAAAACTTAATTGGCTAATAATTATTTCATCCTTAATAAGTAAATCTAATTGCAACTCTACAAAAGCTCTCTGTTCAAGCAGGTAAAAAATATTTTAAGTGCTAAGGGTCTTGCACGTAGAAGCTAACAGGAGTCATCCATGCACTTTGGGTATTAGAATTTTTCAGTTTTAAAGGTTGGTTTTAATAATTTCTTTCCTTTTAAAAATATTCCAGACAAATCTAAGTTTTTGTTGGATATAAGTTCTCGTCTCTGGTTTACGTACAGAAGAAAGTTTTCGCCTATTGGTGAGTATACAGCAGACTAGCTGTGTTGTTCTAAGTGAGGTAACAGGATTAGTGATGTTATCATGGACTGAAAAAATATTTTTCTAGTATTAGCACTTTTTGAGCGTAATTTTAACTGTTTATGCAAACTAAATGTTAAAGCTGTTAAAAATACTGTTTACTTATACCTGCATACAATCAAGTCTTCATGTTTTTAAAGGAAGCAGTAGAGTTAGATCAGCAACATGGAAGGAAAAACATGCCAAAGTGCCTTTGGTCCATTGGACAGTTGTTGGATGTTGTAACTCTGAAGTTTCCTCTGGGTGCTGCCCTCAGTGTAAAGCCCCAGCTGACTGTCATGAACTCTTCCTAACAGGAGGCACTGGTCCTTCCTCCGATGCTGGCTGGGGGTGCATGCTGCGGTGTGGGCAGATGATGCTGGCACAAGCACTGATCTGCAGACATTTGGGAAGAGGTGAGCACTGTTGCTGCAGGAACTTCTGTGGTGTTTGGAGGCCGTTCAATTTTTGTTGTAGTTTTCCATAAAAAACCCAAACCTAAATTTATTTATGAAACTTCCTTTGATGCCCTGCTAGAAGTTACTAATGGATTATTCTTGGGGCAAAATTGTGCCAGCCTTAAGCAGAGAAGTAGAGGGCGGACCTATAGGGAATCCTGTTTCATTATTTCATTAATCTTGTTGAGGAATACCCAAGTTGAGGCCAAGGAAAAAGCTGTGGCCATGGGTCTGAGTTCTTACGCTTCTCTTCGTTGCTTACATAGCCACCAATGCTCGCACACAGTGACTGTGTGAACAGTGGCATAATGATAGACATCATACAAAGTACTTCACAGACCACCCACCCGTCACCAGCCTGAGGTCCAAACCCCACAGCACAGCCCATTAGTGCAAGATCTTAAGCCCGTATCAACACCTCACAACCCAGGATCACAGGTGAGTATCATAGGTCTGGTCTGTGTGTAGCTGCTGTATCAATGAAATTGTTACAATTAGGTCTGTAATCCTTGTACTGTTGAGCTTTGGTTTCCATGGCAGCGTGGTTTATGGATTGATTGACTTTAATAATGGATTCCACAGAAGGATATATTCACTTGAATATCTAAAGCCACAGAATGGAGGTGTAAGGATGTAACTGAAAAAGTAGGGAAACAAATCACCTGAGAAAAAACAGAACTTGAACTCATTGTTTGTAGCTACTTCACAGTCTCAGCCCTGAGTGAGCTTCTCTGTCAGTCAAGAGGCATCCATGGCAAAGCTGTATTTTGGGTTTTGCTGTGGAAGAGGTCCAGTGTTGTGTCTGGACTCTGCTTTATGGATCTTGTATCATTATGGTACAAATGCTGACAGGATGCTTAGAAATCTAGCAAAATCTAAACAGATTGTATAGCTTTAAATGATCTTGGAAGCTCACATTCAGCAGTAGCCATCAGTTCGCAGCAGTGATCACTCAGAATGTATTTGCAGTTGATGTTTTTATTTTCCCAGCTTTCACAACGTAGCCTGTGATAATAAAGGACAGATTGATAATAAATGACCAGCTGTGACTTCTAGGAACTCTAAACAAAATGTAAATATTAGAGATGAATTGTACATTAGTCTTTTAACATCTCATTTTATGGCTTTCTTCTATATAGAAATTTGATCGGGATAATGCAATCATTATTTTTTAACCTATATAACTTTTTTCCTGTAAGATTGGCAATGGGAAAACCACAAAAAACAACCAGAAGAATATCATAGAATCTTACAGTGCTTTCTAGACAGAAAGGATTGCTGTTACTCCATCCACCAAATGGGTAAGAACACACATCAACTTCTTGGTTTTTCCAGTTAAATTTTAACACTACTCTGTTGAGACTTTCTAATTTGAAATATGTTAATTCAAAGTTTGAAAAAAGTTAGGATTAAGACAGTGTGAATGTTTATATATAAATAAAAATGCATGCAAATGAGTGCAAAGTATAATAATTGAGAAATGTTATTCACTGAGACCTAAATAAGTCTGTATACTAGAATCTAGCTCTTGATACTTGGGTACCAGAGCTGATAGGACTAAAATAGACTGTCACAAAGCTTATTGCTGTAATTTCTAATAAAGGACATTAATATTTGTAATTCTCATTATAGTTTAGAAACCTTTTGTAAAGAGTGTAGCAGACATTCAGACTTGAAAAGAGCATAGATTGAGAAAATAATTGT